GTGGCACTTCGCGCGCGCGCCCTGCCCGATGTCTTCCTCTCGCGCGTGCACGCCCAACGCTCCTAATCCTTCGAGACGTAGGCCTCGTCCGTTTCCCTCGCACGCGTCGTTCCTCGCGCACTCCCGCTCGTCGCCCACTTCTCCCCGCGCGTGCACCCCATCGCTCGGCACTCCTAAGCCCACCAGGTTGAGGCCTCGCGCATGTGCGCCCCGCTCGCGCGCTTCCGCCCGCGCGCCCTCGCCGCCTGCCTGTTCGCGTGCGTCATCGCCAACGCCCAAGCCCCCTTCGCCTACGGCGCACCCTACTGCACCTGCTCCCTCGCGCGTCGTACCCATCGCCCGCGGCCTCCAATCGCCTATCGTGCACCCGCGTACATCCGCGGTTCCATGCGTGTTGCCGACGCCCGCCTCCTGCCTACCTCCTGCGCACGATGACGTGTCACTCACGTCCAACATCCTGGTGCCGCGTTCCGTTTAACGCCTTGGCCCCTCGACTTCTTGCGCGCATCATGGCACGATGCGCGCCATCCGTCCGATAGCTGGTCCTCACCGATTCTTTTGTCCCCCGACGGCCATGGATCCCAACCAACCAACCCAATACAGTCTCCGGCACGCCATATCCAACCATCCTCCATTCCTAGCCTTCCTCGTCTTTGAAACTCCGAACACCATGCCCGTTTCTTCCTAGTGCACGACCCACAACATTGGCTTACCTTTTGTGCCTTTGATTTGCATCGTCTTTTGGCCCGGCGCTTCTTGATCTTCAATTTAGCCCGTGGACCACATCCTTTCGGCCAGTCCCTCTTGCATGATGGTCGATAAATTGAACTAGATGGCTCCTCCAACATGTTCTCCAACCAAATATCGAGCCCATCGTCCTCTTCCTCGTCGGACTCGCCGGGGTTGATGACCACTTCCGTATCATTCCTCTCCTCTTCAAGAATTTCCTTGTCCTCAAGGATTAGAAAGTTAAGCGCACCACATCTTCACGGTTTTGAACTTCACCCACCATTGCTCCTTGCCCTTCCATGAGTTGTCGCTCGTACGCTTCT